TGTTTTGTCAATTCTTGCTATCTGTACCGTAAGAAACTTGACACTACTTTATTGACTGTTATTGTGCAGAATATTGTAGTGAGAAGTAAGTCCAGGTCTTGAAGAAATATGCACTTACATGTATGGGGGGGAGGAAACTTTTATATTTAGGTTTATTACCTGAGGGAGTTAAAATTTGTCGGTACAAAAAAAAGTCTGAAAATTGGCTAAATATTTATATTGTAAATTTGAAATGAAGTTGGATATGATGCATCATATTCACTCAAATAGAAGACGACCCCCCAATAATTAGATTCTATGCCTGGAAAATTATAGCAAATTTATAAATTTTTCCATATATAGAACCTAATTATTGGCGGTTTGCTTTGAGTTTGTTTCTATATAGCAGGGAGAACAAATCTGTGGGGGAGGTAGGGCCTTTGCTCTCTGCTTCCCCTCAACGTTTTCCCTTGACAGCACCTTCCTCATCTCCTTACTGTCAAACCCTGCTCTTTCTGAGCACATGAAAATGAGGAGCAAACTTGAAAACAATAACCTTGAAATTAAACATGGCTGTAGCAATTTGCATATAGTACCTATGTACTTGGTTTATCCAGAATTGATGCATGTTCCCTTTTTTGAAACTGCTGCAAGTTTTAATACAGGTATGTCATAAACACACTTTTGAGCAGCAGTTTGACACCTACTCATGTAGGAGCACTCAGTTTGTGCTACATGTGCTCTTTACTGTGGAGTTGACAAATTAGCTCTGCAGTAAAGTGTCACTGTCTACACATGCGCCCCTATTAAGGTGCAGTAAATTAATTAACTCCATTGTAGGATAGTACTGTCTAGGACAAGTACTATCCTATGGCAGAGTTCAGTGCATCAAAGTGCATGTGTAGGTGATGACTGAGGCTGGTTGGGGAGTGAGGATGCTACAGTGCAGGGGTTGCCAGCAGCTGGCCCCACACTGGAATACCCTCATACCTCAGCCAGCCCTTCTGCAGCATGCTGAGCCAGGGCAGTACAGCTCTGGGTTGGCAGCTGACTCGCCCCCCCGGGTCTTCTGCCAGTTGGGGGCAGCTTCACCCCAGCTCAACATGCTGTGGTCCCAGATACCAGTGCAGCTCCTGGGAACAGTAAACTCTGGCACAGACTGCACCATAGTTTATTGCTATGTGCTAATTGCATGTCTAGATATTAGTTCAAAGCCAAAGTCTTCTGATTTACTGCACAGTTCTTTGGACTGGGCCTCACCAGAGTCCACAGCGTTTCAAGCCACAGCTCAGTACTGCTCAGTGTGTGTGTTCCAGATACCAGCACAAAGGAGCCATGAGCTAATTGGCGCCTCCTCCAGGACTGGAACTGGGTGTTCTTGTCACAAGTCCAGGGATGCTCCAAAAATGAATCTGCAGATGAGGCACAGGGCAACCTGGTCTGGCTTCATCTCTTGGAGGGTGGGGCCCCACTAATCATGTGCATCAGGCTGAGAGAAGGGGCAATAGAGGTTCTGCATGAGCTGTACACAATGTTGTCTCACCTTGACTTGAAATAGAGATGGCAGTGAGGGGGACTGTGCTTAATGGGCACTTCTTATGTCTTATTCAGATGGGCTACACTAATCTATTCTTGTGGTAGCTTGTTTGCCTAATGTGGGCCACGTGTTTTGCAGTCATGCTCAGTCTTGGCTGCATTTAATCAACTTCATAGTTGGTTTCCATCGATGAGCACATGCTGCTTTTGGCAGCAGCTTAATGATAGACAATGTTTTTAGTGAGATGTCCTTGTATGCAATTATAAGATGAGGGGCTTTTTTCCCCCTATGCCAGTTGCGGGGGTGGAGAGGGGAAGGAGGGACAGGAACCTCATCTTGTATTCAAGTATATACTTCCTATTCCAGCAGTAGATATGGAAAAGTGAAGGCAATTAACATGGTGTTTAAATGCACTAAATTGTTTAATGCAGTGGGGGGCAAACCTTGTTGGCAGGTGTATCACAAATTAGCCCCACACCCTCCCTGTGTGCCACTCTGATCTGCTGCTTCTGCCCAATCTGCTGTTTCCTGCCCTAACTGTTGCTGTGCTGCCTGTCCTCTCCCCTATCTAATGCATGCTCCTCACAGGCTGCCCTTGCTATTTGTGACACATGCTGCAAATGACCCACCACTGTTTTAATAGATGGCTTTCAAAATGTAATTGGCAGAGAGATCCTCAAATGTGAGGGTGTATCAAATACTGTCCTCCAGGGACTGATTCTCAGTCTGAAGGTAATTTTATTAATGATCTGGAAGAAAATACAGGATCATTGCAGGTGAAACTTATGCAGAGATGGGAATTGTCAATGAAAAAACACCAGCTCTTTTATACAGAATGATTTTTAGGTCCTGTTGTAAACTGGGTACAATTAAGCAACTTCTCAATACAGCCAAATGTGAGGGATTTCACAGGATTGAGGACTGTATTCTAGAGAAAAGTAATTGAATTAAGTTAGGGTAGACAGCCAAAAGAAGAGGGTCCCTCAGTGCAGTACTGTAGCTATAACATCTGCTGTACTCCCTGTATAAGCAAGTAGGAGTATGGAATTAATATACTGCTTCATACAGCTTTGGGCGAAGACTTGTTGGTACGTGGCCTGTCATGAGCTGAAAACTTGTAGAGTTCAGAAAACAGTCTAGAGCTGGAAAATGCTGGACGAATGGGGCTTATGGAGTTTTTTCAATTAGTCTTATCAATGATGTTTAAAAGGCAACAACATGATATAGAATAACAGGCTGTGCTCCGATCGGCTCCACCGGCCCCATGGAGCGCAGCGCCGGCTCTGCCTGCCTTCCACCACCGGGCTGCACTCTGTGGGGCTGGTGGAGCAGATCATAGTGCAACACCAGCTCTGTCTGCCTCCCACCTCTGAGCTGCGCTCCCATTGGCTCCGCCAGTCCCATGAAGCGCAGCCGGGAGATGGACAGAGCCGGCACTGCACTCTGCCTCCCGCTGCCAGACTGAGCTCCGTGGGGCTGGCAGAGCTGATTGGAGTGCAGTCTGGCAGCGAGAGATGGGCAGAGACAGGGCTGCACTCTGCCTCCTGCTGCTGGGCTGAGCTCTATGGAGCCTGGTGCTGGGCACAGGCTGCGCCTAGTGCCAGTGCCAGTCCCAGGTGGCAGCGGCAGCCTCCTGTCATCCAGCGCAGATCCAGGAGCCACCCCCCCCGGGGGAGTCTGGCATAGCCCCACAGCCCTCCCAGGGATGCGGGTCCCTGGATCTGTGCTCAGATGACAGGAGTCTGCTGCTACTACCTGGGGCCAGTGGCAGTATCTGTCTTCCCCAGTGTTGGGTGCAGGCTGTGCCCAGTGCAGGTCCCAGGCAGTAGCCTCCTGTCATCTGGTGCAGATCCAGGGTCCCACACCCCTGGGAGGAGTCCGGCACAGCCCTGAAATCCTCCCAGGGGTGCGGGCTCCCAGATCTGCATGCCGGATGACAGGAGGCTGCCACTACCAGGAAATTTTGCTTTCAAGACTTGGAGGTGCAGTTTCTGAGAAACCTTTTCACCTATCTACTTGAAACTTGGCAGGCTTCATGCCCCCAGAAGGGGCTATCATTTCTGCAATTTACATCTGAATCAGGCAACAAATAACAACGTTTTAGGCATTTTCATGATTCCACATTATAGCCTATGGGCAAAAGGAGTTGAAGCAGCGAAACAGTTTTGACAAACCGGAACGGGACAGTTTCAGAACTAAATGAAACAACAAACTGAAACACTGTCCCTTCAAAATGGCAAAATGGACACTGAAACAAAACAGTGTTTCTTGCAGCCCTGCTGTTCATTACTTCAAGACACAAAATCAAAATTGGATATCAGTAATGCAGTCACAGATCATTAGTCTTGGGGCAAGAAATCTCTGTAGCTTTCTTCATAATGCCTGAAGGACACACAAGGTTTAGCTTTCTTTTGCTTTACCTCCTACTAAGCAATGAGTGGTGTGAGGGTTATTTTTTTGTTTTTTGTTTTTTCTTTTTTTTTCCTTTCTGTCTCTAGACTGTTACCTTGGAAGTAGAGTCCCTGATGGTACAGAGGATTTGTAATAAGCAAACCAGACTCTTAATGACCCGTATCATTATTTTCTGAAATTGGAAAGCCAAAATGTATCTAATCTGCTGTCTCTCTATAATCTCTTCCTAATTATAATGTGACAGAATATTGCTATTGTTGATGCTTTTCTCCTTTTTATGACTGAGAGTACATAGAAGGATATTTTTTACTAATTGAAAGTTCAGACTCCTTGTTTTTCTGCTTGCACTTACTCGTACCCATGGCCTCTGGGGATCCGGTGTTTCCTGTGATTAATATTTGAATCTTGCCAAGAGCACTGTCAGATGGTTTGGTTCCTTGCCTTAATGGACCCCTATTTTCTTCAATACTCGGACTCGTGTCCAGATTCAGGAAGGCCAAGGTTCTTACTGGAGCATCTTGGAGTTCAGCAGATGTGAACAAGCCAACACACTTTTATAGAACAGTCTAGCGGTCATAATTTGCAACTAAACAGTAGAGTGAAAACTAAGTTTACCTAACCTGTACTGATGTCTGAAACACAGAAGACTTGAAACTTCACGTGGAGGTTGACTGCAGCTCATGTTGGTTTATCCTGGGCTACCAGAATTCCAAACTTCGTGTGGCATGAAGATAGGGACCTAGAGGGACTGAAACATAGGGTAGGGGACTGGGCTACATAGCTTGATATCTTGTTTTGTGCTTCTAGTGAAATGTACAAACTTGTACAATAGCACTGTTTTTCCAGACTCTTGTGCTTGCTTCCTTCACCCTGGGGAACACCTAAAAAAAAAAAAAAGAATCCAAGTCTGTTTCAAAGATGGGACTTGCATACAATTATTTCTTGTCTCAAACTCCTTGACTTCTCCTCTATGTGGTACAGTAGAATGTCTCGGTTTCTAGCTTGTGTGATGAGCAAAATACGCTGCCTTTCACTGTCTGTTTCTATATGACTTTTTTTTTTCTTCTTTTAGAGCTGTGAGGATTTCAGTTGCAATGACGAACCACCTCAGGAAGATGAAGGGTTCATGGGCATGTCCCCTCTTTTACAAGCCCACCATGCCATGGAGAAAATGGAGGAGTTTGTGTGCAAGGTAAGAGGTATAAAAAAAGCTGTTTAAATCTATTGTCAGAGTGAAGCTAAGAGCCATGTATCTTAAGTAACTGCATCAATAGTAAGTGGGGCACAGCAGGTGCACAAAGTTGATAACCAAAGGTCACTCTGATAGCAGCTAATGTGGTGGTTGTGGATCACCTTCTGCCATAAATAAACACATTGTTAAGCATGGGACAATAGGGATGACATGCTAAAATGAGAGGCTAAAGCTGATGGCATGACTGGGGAGCCTCCCTTTTGGGGAACATCTGTGAGTACACACAGAGTAATAGCACTCTGCATCCAGTGTTTCCAGTTCACGGCACTTTCATTTACAAGGTCAGTTTTTTCCAGGCTTCTTTGGAAGCAAACATTTGCAAGTCTATAGTGCCATTTGTCTCCATAGAAGGATAGGGTTAGTCTGCTACCTAAATAGAAGAGTAGTTATGTTATGTAAATAGCACTGGCCTAGACTCACTTCTCTTAAAGCTGTAGGGCCCAGTCTGTGTTGGCCTGATGGACAACCTGGATTTGGGGTTGAGGAGAGCTGCCCCTGATAAACCGAACAACTGTGTTTATAACAAATCATAACAGACCTGTTTTTAACAATCCCAAGAAAAACGCATCCCATCCACCCCCACTGTGATGATGCAGCAAGTTTGCTAACACAAGTATACTAAACACCCTATTTTAATTAACTTTTTCTCCCAGTCCCGTGGCAGTTTGATATAATGAGGCTGTACTGGTGGGTGGGTGTTGCTGTTGATTCCACAAATTCCTGTTTGTCACTGTTTGACTCAGGATTGCATATCCCTCCCTACACACCTTCAAAAACCTGTCTGAAAATTTCTTTTGTGCTTTCTCTAGAATGAGATTGTCACAGAATCATGCGGATTCAGTGAGCAGCGGAGCAGAACAGCAAAAATTTAAATAAAAAGCATCTTTTAGGGTTCTTGCCTGAGCTGGCTAAGTGTAAGAATTGTCGTCTTTTCAAAGGAAAATGACAGTAGAGCCAGGCTTTTAACATTTCTACTCTCACTGTTAAGATGGAAATGTGAATCCAACAGTTTAAAATTTTTCAAAATTACACGATTCTCTTAGTTCCGACAAGCTTCTCTGCCTCATCCTCCCCAGCCAGGCAGGCAGATCCAAGGAATGTGGCATCTGTAGATGGAGCTTCCCACAAAACCCCAATACCTGGCAGGGCTGGCAATAAAACCAACTTTAAGATACGCATCTTGTTCTGTGCTATGCTGAAGTGTAGCTGAAGAGCAGCTACAAGTACAGTTGTTTTCCTTGGGGACCTTCTGCCTGAGTAGGTGCACCTGCAGGAGAGACTACAACAGGGTTGGAAATGGCCAGTTGGCTTCCTGCTTGGGCTGGCAATTCTGGAAAGAGATCACATTACTTGACATTCTGTCTACAATCTCTAACTTACAGGTGTGGGAGGGCCGATGGCGAGTCATCCCCCATGATGTTCTGCCTGACTGGCTAAAAGACAATGACTATTTGTTGCATGGACATAGACCACCAATGCCCTCCTTCCGAGCTTGCTTTAAGAGTATCTTCAGAATACACACAGAGACGGGGAACATCTGGACACATCTCCTAGGTATTTCCATCATGCTATGAAGTCTGTAGTTACTGATCTTTTTTATTCTGCCTATTGTAAGGGTTGGGGGACTTTACTTGCAGATGAGTTTAGACAGGATTATCTTTCCAGTGGTGACATGCTGGATAGGGTTGAAGGCATCATTTGTTAAAAATCTTTCACCAGAGTTTAGGGAAGACAGAGGTTGGGTTTTTTTCCTTCCTTTTTCCCTTTTCTGATGCTGCAAACTCACCAATGATAGATACCACCTCACCTGTCCCTGGGGCCCATAAACTTCTGGAAAGTATATTTCTTGCCTTGGGAATTCCCCAACATTTAATAAACTCCAAACTTTCAAAAAACTTATTGGGGGAAGGATGTCCTATGCTCCCTTCTCCTGCCCCATTTTTCTCATTATACTAATAAAAACCTTTGCAATACTCTTACTGTGTGTGGAGAATTTGGGAACAGAGCATGAATATTTTGAGCATATGCACTTTTGTCTGACAAATGTAGTTGCCTTCCTGTTTGGTTGTAGTTTAACTAATGTTTCTTTTAGTGACAGAACAAGGTTTACCTACTTGGTTTACCTGCTTTCCTCAGTATGCACTGTATATCAGAGTAAAGAAACATTTTATTTGAGTGTTAAAGTAGTAGCACTTCAGTATCTTTCAAAGAGAAGTGGATGCAGTTGTCAAACCTGCTAGTGCCATTCTGCATTTTGCTGGGAAGATGCACAACTCTGTCTTCCTCCCTTGGAAATTGTTGATGTTTCTACAAGACTTTTCCATTCCCTGTCAAACTGGGAGTGAGTATCTGGCTAGAAAATCAAACTTCAGGCTCCCACATATCAGTACAAAAAATGTCCATTTGCTTCACTCAGATTTCATGCAGGTACTGCTCTTTTCCCTGCTAGAAACATTTGAAATATGACACTTGCAAAAAGGCAACTTTCCAAGTATCTTTGGGCTGAGTACCCTCCTCCTATCCCCTAGGGCTCCATTATCATGCTGTGGGTAGAAGTTTACTGACCACAAATTTAATCTTTAAATTGGCATTGCAGTGACCATATTCCACCAAACCTCCAGCCAAGCTTTGGAGGACAAAACCAGCATTACGCTCCTCCAGCTGATGAGTGCACAGCTGTATTCTTTGGCAAACCATTTAACCTTCAGAATGTACCACAGCAGCAAATTTTGCAGGATTACTGATCTGTGGAACTAAGTGGGCTGAGCTTGCTTGCAGCAGCTCATAAAAGGTCCTGGATGTACCTGAAACACTAGAAACGACAGTGTTTTCACTTCCAGCTCAAGCTGCTTTCCATTTGCCTGGACACTGGCAGCTACGCAAATAGGAAAGCTTATTTTTTCAGGGTCTTAAAGGTTAGGGTGGGAGCCTGATCTTTTAAGACTGGGCTATGAAGAAGCCTATCGGTTAGTCCTCCTGGGTTAGGGAGATAATAGTTCTGGGTGATGGTGGGTTTTTTCAAATGAATGTCAGTCTGGGGAATGTGGGAGAATGTTCTAAGAGGGCCAGAATATCTGCCTTCCAAACTCTTCTGTGGGGGTGGAGGAAGCAGTGGACGGTATTTCACCTGACACCAAGGCTATCTTACCATTAAATTATCAGTTGCAAAACAGACTTACTATGCTACTGATAGGTATTGAACCATATCCCAGACACCTCTTAAAACAAATGAAAATAGGGTGTATTTGTAAAGGGTATACAGGCACACATCTGTAATGTGTAAGTGGTAGTCAGATACATGGCTGGATCAGAGTTGGTGGAAATGTGGTATTATGATGGGCTTTTTCTTTGACATTTTCCCCCCATTTCTTTCAACCTAGCTCCATAAAATACAGCTTTCAAAGTGCATGTGTCTGTTCATTTTTTTTTTTTTTTTTCCCTACCTCAGGTTGCGTGTTCTTCCTCTGCCTGGGGATCTTCTACATGTTTCGACCAAACATGTCCTTTGTAGCACCTGTGCAAGAGAAAGTGGTTGTAGGATTGTTCTTCTTGGGAGCCATCCTCTGCCTTTCTTTCTCATGGCTCTTCCACACAGTTTACTGCCATTCAGAAGGTGTATCCCGGCTCTTCTCCAAGTAAGTATTATAGATGTAGGTTAGGCAGAAAACAGTTGGGTTGAAACATATGACTGGGATTTGAGCTGTGCTATAGGAGCTGCATTTCTAGCAGAGACACTTTTAGTGTTAGTGAGGTTGTGTGCAGTTTCCTCCGCCCCAACATTCCCTAAGAGTACCAAAAGTATCGAAACCAGGTTTTTCAGCCTGGTGTGAAAGACGGCTGTGAAAAGTGAACTATTTAGGCAGGCTAGATTCTAAATCTTTGGACATAAAACTGGTCTCTTGGAGCAGTTTGAAGAAGGGAGGGGGAGCTGCTCTTCTGTGCTGCACAGCACCTGTTACATTGTGGGCATGGAGCACTTACAAGCCTGTAGTGATTCAGATGCAGCAAAACCATCCAGATTAATTCTGCTTCAAGTAGAAACCAACCTTTTTGGCAGATGTGCCACAAAGAGTGTGCAGGGCATATTAAGTGCAGCTGCTATCCCCTTGCCTTACCTGATCTGTTGCTCTGCTTTCTGTGCCCTGCCCTATTTGTTAGTTTTCTGCTGCCTCTGTGATCTTCCACATGCCCCACACAGGCTGCATGTGACTGGCGTGCTATGGGTTGGCCACCCGTGCACTGCAGGATCATGCACCTGTAGCACTTGGAGTGTAACAGCTGCTGGATATCCCTGAACAGCAGCTCCTCCTCCCCTTCTCCCTCTGAAGCTGCTTCAAGCAAACAGTTTACCCATGCTTCTTAATGTAGCTTTCTGCCTTTCCATTTTTCTCAAATTTTGGTTTACCTCGGCTGTTAATTGCCAGGCTAGCTTCGTTCTAAAAAGGAGGTATGTTTTTTGCTCCCGCTCTGGCTTGGTGCTAAGAACCATTTTTGTCTTGAAATCACCTCAGTTGATGGCAATCAAAAAAAAAAAAAAAAATCACTTCTTAGGTGGTCAGTCAGTAAAGCCTTTGTGGTTTGTCTGTTCCCAGCCACTCCAACAAATCTGGAAGGTTCATATTGTCTCTCTGTACTGTATTTGAACCCACAAAGTTTATTAGCAGATGCCTTTTGTGCTTGAGGAAAACTTTTCTTGTAAGTCCTTACTCTATTCCTTCTCATCCCCAAAAGAAAAGCTGAGGGGTTCTTAGGTGCACGCTTCATACCTTTTGGTCTGTGGAATACCGGCCATGGAGAACTGAATGCATCTGAGTATTCAAAATGGTCTTATTGACTACATGGCTATTCAGCTGAATTCTGTAGTAGGAGGTAGGATCTCCACAGGTGATTCATTCCTTGAACAAGAATTGCTGCAAAGGAAAAACCCTGTTTTGCAAGGGAAAATGGACTCTTAATATAAGCAGTGGAGCACTTGGGTACAAGAATTTTGGGGGTTTGTAGTCCTATATCAGATACATTTTGTCTCCTGTTCTAGGCTGGATTACTCTGGCATAGCACTTCTCATTATGGGCAGTTTTGTTCCCTGGCTCTACTATTCCTTCTACTGCAACCCTCAGCCCTGTTTCATCTACTTGATTGTGATTTGCGTCTTGGGCATTGCAGCCATAATAGTTTCCCAGTGGGACATGTTTGCAACCCCTCAGTACCGGGGTGTGCGGGCAGGTAAGAATCTAAGCCTTTTTTTTTTTTTTTCTTACTTGACTGTCGTCTGTCCTTCTTATTGAACCATTACAGGCCCTGACTGTCAGGAGAGTGTGCACTGCCAAGTTATGTCTGGGAATATGATTAACACAACTTGTGGACACTGAACTTGGTATATTTCCATAAGAGGTGTTGGCTTTGAGTTTGGCCCTCTGGGTACTACGTTAAGGGCATCTGAAGGGGTGGGGTGGGGTTGGGGGAGGGGCAGCAGGCAGGATGGCAGAGATACAAAAGTATTTGCAGCTTTCTCTAATAACTTTTATCCTTTTCTGCAAAATAGATCTTAGTGAAAGGTCATTCTGAATTTGTATATGCTTCTAGTCTCTGCAGACATTGTAGGTAATCCTGAGTGCAGCTGAGCAATTGTCCTGAGAGGTTTTGTATGTTGTTTGCATGTGCCCTTGGTCCTTCTGACTGGGGTGAAGAAGAATGCTGATGATTAATGCTGCTTCAGTACTCTGAAGTGGTGAGCTGGGAGAGACCAGCAGACTTTGAGGTCAGCTAGATTTCTTACCAGTCAATGTTTCCTACCTGTTAGATGTATAAAGCTGGTGTGTGCTCCTAGGTACGGTTTCTTATGTCTGGGAAAGCTGAGTTATCAAACACAGTAAGGAATTCAACCTTCGAAACAAACCATATGGCAGACGTAACTTCCCATTTTATTATCCACATCTCAGGGTTGTAGAAAACAGTATTATTTCAAACGGCCAAGGTCTGCTCTCTTAAGTTACAGAGAGAGATCAGCCTCAGCTGCTGCTGCTTTGCTCATTCCTGGGATTGCCTGCATGGTGTATTGTACTGGTCACTTCCATTTTCTTGTCACTCTCCACCATGATCTTTCAGTAGCAGAAGAGCCTTTTATGGGATTTAGGCGCCATCTACAGCCCAGGAGCTTTAATCTGCTTGAAAAGAATTCTTAACCCTCAAGTTGACATACGCATTGCCTGGATGTAGAGACACTAAAGTGAAGTGAGACGCAACCTGTTATATAGTGAGTGGAGCTGCTGATCATTTAACTGCTGTATAAAGGACCTTTGCATATTCATGAACAGTTTGACAACATAAGCTTGCTGCCTTGCGTGGGGCATTCTGCTTCAACTGCTCCATCTTGTACCTCTATTGGGGATATTGATTTTGCTGTTCATTGCTGCTTTCCATGACCAAACCTGACTCTCCCCTATTTTCCTTGCTTTGTAGGAGTATTTCTGGGTCTGGGTCTTAGTGGTGTCATCCCCACCCTGCACTTTGTCATCTCGGAGGGGCTACTGAAGGCAGCCACAATGGGGCAAATCGGCTGGCTGGCACTAATGGCGTGCCTGTACATTACTGGTGCTGCGCTGTATGCTGCTCGCATTCCAGAGAGATTCTTCCCTGGCAAGTGTGATATCTGGGTGAGTCTGGATTCAGAAACTGGCACATCAGCTTGTTATGCTGAGAGCTGGAGTACTTGTTATGCTTTTTTTTTCTCCAGCTCTGGCAACTAAAACTGGTGGAAAATCTACTCTTTGAGACTTCCTTATCTGGTCAAGATGAGTGTACTAGACTATTGGAAAGCCAACAATGTATTGTTAGTTGAATTCCTTCTTCTGAAGATATACTCTGGTACTGTATCATTCCACTAAGGTTCTGACAGGTGCCTGTTGCTTCCCCAAGTTTTCCAGGGAGACTGTAAATTGATATTTTGCACAGCAGCTATCTAAGACTATTGCCTGTATTGGCACTTCTTCCTTCAAACTGGGAAATACACCATGTTGTTTTACTTGCTCATGCTTTCCATTCTGCTGTACTCAAATCATGTTCTCCATCACTTGCTCATATCCTAGATTTGAAGTTACCGAACTTCAGACTTCAACAGTTGTTTACTCAACTTCTGTCCAGTTTCCTCTGTGGTAGAGAACAACCAGGACAGTTCTTTTCTGAAAATCAACTAGTGAGATTATGCCCAAGACTAGAAGAGTTCCAGTACCTATCCACTTGTGTAGGGCTGGTCATGTCACTAGCCCCAGCAGGCATTGTATCAGTACGGGTCTAAGAAACATTTAAGGCCTCTGTCCTGGGAACTGGAAATGACCTGGTGTGATACTAAAGATGGATGTGACAGAATGGTTTATAGCACACTGGAACACGATCAATGCACAGTAGGCAATCCTAGTACTTGTACCTAAGGAGATGCTTCCCCTGCTCCCAGCATGCATGGCTGACAGGGGAGACAGTTGTCTCTTTCTTTCTCTAATTAATGAGATGATAAGGATGGGCTTTATGAGACTTTGCATAGCCCAGCAAGTTGATAAGATCCTGTTGCTGCCTGCCATTAACATGTGGCTGTGTACAAAAAGGGGTGGCATTGGAACCCCAAATATTTGTCTGAATGGTGATGTTTTGTTTCCACAGTTCCACTCCCATCAGTTGTTCCACATCTTTGTAGTGGCTGGAGCCTTTGTGCATTTCCATGGTGTGTCGAACCTTCAGGAGTTCCGCTTCACAGTTGGAGGAGGCTGCACAGAGGAGGAACAGATGCAGTAAAACCCGCCTTCCGTCCCGGGTCAAAACCAAAATGGGACCACAAGTGTGGTTGAAGCTAACTAGCTAGTGAAGTGAATACCTAAGAATCTGAGCTTCACCTACTTGGGCACGGAAGCTTTGTGGGGATTCTGACTAACAAAGAAATGTATACCTCAAACAATGAAGTGTGAATCAATTTGAACACCAGGAAATTCTTAAACCCTAACTTTATTCTTGGGATCTACAGATCAAGCTACAGAGGACCCTTTCCAAATCGGCTTCTGTTCAATGCCATATTTATTTGTAGAAGATGGGTGGGACAGCTTAGCATTTTTTCTTTTTAAAATCTAGAATAAGAAGATTTATAGCCTCTTCAAGGGGTGGGGGGTTGATTTTAGATTATGCTCTTTTGGGAGAAAAAAATTGTAAATAAGATTTCTAACTTTGTGTTTAAATAAAAAAAAAATTTATATAAATGTTTTAAACAAATGGGGTTGGGGAGAAAAGGGTTTTGTAGAGAATGCAACTTGCAAGTACCACACACTGTTTCAATTTTGCACAAAACAAGTGCAAGAGGACCAGGTAAAATCCCCAGGAGTGAGGCATGTGGGTCCTGCTGACTCTGCCCAGTATATGCCAGCTTCAAAGAAATCTGGGATTCTGGCTGGAATTTGGAGCAGGCTCAGTAATATTTATACAAGAGTTGCAGCAGGCTCAGTAATGTGCACAAAGGTTGGAAAAGATGCCTACATTTTAATTGAGCTCTCGTTGAAGTCAGTGTTAGTAAGTTTAGCTACTCAAGGAACTGGAATACATCTGAGCCCTGTCCAACTATATGGGACAGTTGTCTTCTATGCTATTTAGCTTCTGTGGGTTTTTTGGATTATGGATTTAAAACCTAATTTGAGGGGTTCTTGCCGCGTGAAGCAAAATGGTATGGGATAAGTGTGTGATACAGTAAACAAATTGACTCCATGGGTGCCTGTCTGTGTGGAAAGGTTTCTGTTGGCTAGCTTTCTGGTGACCATTCATGGATCTGCTCTGGTGGGATTTTTTTTTTGTCTGAATATGTAGGAGTCATGCTTGTCAAAGAGTTATCAGTTGTCTAGTTAGTAGACTGTGGGAGCAAAGATACAGGGTGAAGGATGGGCTGCTGCTGGTAAAGGAGCAACACCTTCACATGTGCAGAGCTCCCTGTGCTTGTGGGGTCTTGTGGGCTTTTTAAATCTGCAAGAAGCCCTGCTCACTGCCCACTTTCCAGGTCCAGTCACAGTAACAGTCACAGTTCTAGAACTGTTGGCTTTTTTAACTCAAAGAAAAATGAAATGACTTTGGAGCAGACACATACCAGTCCCTCTGTTAGGGTGGTGTAGCTTGACCTCTGGCCCTCAGTCAGAAGCCAGGGCAGATTGTTGGAGAATCTTCTTAAGCCTTGAGATGAAACGGTCCTTGTAGTTTAAGGGTCAGCTGTTTCATGTAATGAATGTCAAATTGCTAAAAATTCAAAGCAATTACCTCATACTTAGATGAGCTAAATGGCTTCTAAAATGTTGTGGTTCACAAAGCAATAGGAATAGAACACTGTTCAAAAAAATGTTGTAAGGGTGAAAGTTCAAATTGGCAAGTGAAAAACTTGGATTGCAGAGATGTGACTAACAAGCATTTCTGGGATCCCAGGATATCAGTGCATGTGTGTGGGGTTTTTTTTTTTTTAAGGGGTTATTTTTTCTTAATGGGGTTGATTGGGAGTGGGATGCCTTGATTACTTGCACCATTCCTCAACATTTCCTATAAAAAGGAAGTCAAAATTGAAGACTGGCTATAAAGGAGGTGCTGCATTGGAGCTTGTAGGAAGGGTATGTTCTCAGTAGCATCACCATACTGGCCAACAGTAGGACAGGAGGAAACATTTTTGTCATGCATTAGTGTCATGCTGAACTGAAATAGAGCAGTATTAACTTAATACCTTTCCTGAAAGAGGGCTAATCGGCATCAGAGCCTATAAGAGAGATTCAGTTGGTATTGATAAAAAAAAAAAACAAAAAAAACCCCCAAAAAA